TCAGAACGCATTGATAGTTCCTCTCCCTTTCACGGGAGGCCCACCTTGGGCTGTTCCACCACTTCAATGTTGGGGAACAGTGGCGGTAAGGGCCATAGAGGAATACAGGTCCTTCCTACTGGATGCACCACAGCTTCGCGCCCAGCCACTTTCTCTGCATTGCTGGCAGTGGCGAAGAAGCTGCACCCTCTCACGCTGGCTAGAACAGACGTTGCAGAAGGGTTATGCTCTCCAATTCCACCGGACCCCACCCCCGTACAGGGGAGTGGTGGAGACGGTGATGAAAACGCCAGACAAAGTGGCCGCTCTGATGACAGAGATTACGGAACTTTTGGCGAAGGAGGCGGTGACAGTAGTTCCCCGGGAGCAAAGGAACAAAGGGCTATATTCGCCTTATTTCCTAGTGCCCAAAAAGACGGGGGGAGTGAGGCCGATTTTGGATTAACGCATTCTCAACGAGAGCATAACCAAACGGCCCTTCCGAATGCTAACGACAAAACGTCTGCTGGAATGTGTCCAGAGAGGGGACTTTTGTACGAGCATAGACCTAAAGGACGCGTACTTTCATGTGCCGGTTCAGCCGCGTCACAGGAAGTTTCTGCGGTTCGCCTTTCAAGGGGTGGCGTACGAATACATGAGGATGCCATTTGGGTACGCCCTGGCACCTCGCACATTTTCCAAGTGTGTGGAGGCGGCATTGGAACCGTTGCGTCGTCAGGGAATACGGCTACTAGCCTACCTGGACGACCTACTGGTTCTCGCCCCGTCAGCAGAGCTGGCGATCACTCACACAACACAGACAGTGATGCATCTCACATGTCTGGGGTTTGCTGTGAATTGGAAAAAGAGCGCGCCCTGGCCCACTCATCAGATTGTCTACCTGGGGATACAGCTAGACACTGTGAGGATGAGGGCTCGAATTTCGGACCCCCGAAGGGTAGCCTTGTTGCTAGCCCTAAGGAAGTGTCGTCCGAATCACACGGTGACGGCGCTGTCGATCATGTCACTTTTGGGTCTCATGTCGTCAGCCCACTCTGTGGTTCCGCTGGGACTCCTGCATATGCGCAGGATGCAGCGATGGTTCGCCCAACTAAGACTAGACCCATTGCGTCAACGTCATCGGTTGGTGGTGGTTCCCCTCTCGCTCAGTGCAGACCTAAACTATTGGAGAAACTCGCGCGTTCTCACGCACAGAGTCCCGATAGGAAAGGTGTCCTCTCACATCCCAGTATTCACGGATGCGTCCCTAACGGGATGGGGAGGGACATGTCAGACACAAGCGATAGGAGGTGTGTGGCCTCAATCAGGTCGTCACATCAACCTCCTGGAGTTGGAAACGGTTCAACTGGTTCTGACCCACTTCGCGTCTACCCTTCGGGGTCGCGATGTGCTGGTCTGGTCAGACAACCGGACCACAGTAGCCCACATAAATCGCCAGGGAGGAGTCAGGTCTCCTGCTCTCCATCGGGCGGCAGAGGAATTGTGGCTGTGGGCTCATGAGCACCTTCGCTCATTGAGAGCAGCACACATTCCGGGCTACTTGAATGTAGGAGCAGACCTCATGTCAAGAGGGGGTCCTCGAGACGACGAGTGGTGTCTGCATCCAGACATTGTTCTCCAGATTTGGGAACAATTCGGGAGAGCCGAGGTGGACCTATTCGCGTCACGCGTGAACGCGCAATGTCCTCTGTGGTTCTCTCTGAGGGAACAGGACGAACCGCCACTGGGAAGGGACGCCTTTGCGCACCAACCGTGGCCGAGAGTTCTCCTGTATGCATTCCCTCCGCTGTCCTGCATTCTCCCACTGCTAGCCAGGGTGAGGTCAGGGGGGCTGTCAGTGATACTGATAGCGCCCGATCGCCCGGGGGCTCCTTGGTTTGCGGAGATGAGTCAGATGTTGATTGCGCCACCTTGGCCAATTCCACATCGACGGGACGCGTCGTCTCAGGCGGCTGGCACGATAGGGAAATTGCCCATAATCGGCCAACCACTGAAGGCCTGGCTGCTGAGAGGGACAGGCCAGAGCGCCGTGGGTTATCTGATGCAGTGATCAGGACCATACAGGGTTCACGTGCCAGTTCCACTTCTAAGATGTATGCCAGTAGATGGAACGTGTTTTCACGATGGTGTAGACCCCATGAGCTGTCAGGTGGAGAGTATTCTCTCTTTTCTACAGCTCATGTTTGATAAGCAAAAATCGCCTGCCACGATTAGAGTGTTTGCAGCAGCGATTTCAGCTTGTCATGAGGGTTTTGGCAGAGACAATGTCTTTAGCCACCCTCTAGTGAAACGCTTCCTATTAGGAACGCGGCGACTTAGGCCAACACCTAGAGTCACGCTTCCTCAGTGGGATTTGGCTTTGGTACTCGAAGCGCTATGTAAGTCGCCGTTCGAGCCATTGAATCAAATACCCCTCAAGATGCTGTCTATAAAGACAGCACTGTTGCTCGCTTTGACTACAGCTAAGCGGGTCAGTGATTTGTGTGCTCTTTCGACGAGACCTGACTGCTTGGCCATCAATGGTGACCTGAGCAAAGCAGTGTTACGTCCTAACCCGGCATTTGTGCCGAAGGTTATTAAGAGTTCATATAGGTCACAGACCGTGGAGCTGTGGGCTTTTTCTCCTCCTCCTCATAGAGAGAGGAGTGAGGAAAAGCTCCATCGCCTGTGCCCGGTACGCGCTTTGGCGTGTTACGTCGAGCGCACAGCAGCGATTAGGTCATCGCCTCAGTTGTTTGTGTGTCACGGTGCGGCTGCACTAGGTAGACCACTTTCAAAACAGAGGTTGTCTCACTGGCTTTGTGAAGGCATTGAGACAGCTTATGAGGCAGCAGGGCGGCAATTGCCTCAGGGTATCAGAGCTCACTCCACTCGTGGAGTAGCGGCTTCTACTGCCCTTTTCAGAGGAACAGGGGTAGAGGATATCTGTAGAGCAGCATCCTGGTCGACGCCGTCTCCATTTATCCGTTTCTATCTCTTAGATATGTCTTCCAATTCTCTGGCTCGATCTGTACTCAGCGTGGCTGAAGGGAGATCTTGAGCAAGAAAGAGAGGAGAAGCAGGACTGTGGACACAGGTTTCCATCAGGTCCGCTTTAGTTAGGAAGACGTGTTTTTGACAGATGTGTTTTCTAACTCTTTGGCTCGGTCTGTACTCAGCATAGCTGAAGGGAGATCTTGAGCTAGGAAGAGAGGGAAAAGCAGGACTATGGACAGGGTTTCCATCAGGTCCGCTTTGGATAAGAAAACATTTTGTGGCATGAACCCTGACTGACAGGGTCAGTACAGTAGAGGCATGCGTTGATTAACAGAATGTGAGGTCATCTATCTGCTTGTTCAGTTAGTATGACTCATGTTTTTGTTCCTGTCCACTAATCTCTGGGATTCCATTGAGTGAGTGAGGCGGTCTACCGCGTTTACAATGTAGAGTGACACTTGGTGTCATTCCATTAGTGGGCGGTAGTGTTTTCACAGGATATTGAGGCACATCTATCTGCTAGTACAGATTAGTATGGCTTCTATTCTGGTGATCTGCCCACTAGTCATTGGCATTGCCATTGGACTAGGTGGGGCGGGTCTTTTAACCGATGACGCGGTATATTGTGACGCCCGTAGGGGTTTTTTAGTTGCAGTACTGCGGGACTCGGTTGCAGCCATTGCTAGGCCTGACTTTCTCGTTTCGATGGGAAGTGTTAGGCTCGGCAGGGAGTACATTTTGGAGCGCTACGCTCCGCCTTAAACCACTAGGAGCAGAGCTCCCCTATGGGGCGGAGCTCCACGATATAGAACGATTAGTTACCGGAGTGTAACTCCAGTTCTATGAGTGGAGCGGAGCCCCATAGGACTTAAGGCCCTGCCGACCCTCTCTAGTCTCGCTGAAGAAAAATATCTCGGGAGGCTGATTGAGGGGAGGCATCCCCTCTTATAGGGACACCTGTACTCCTATTGGCTGTAGGTGTGTGCATAATTTTGTCTCAGGCTGCTGCTGCCTTAGGGCAGAGGGTAAACCACTAGGAGCTGAGCTCCCCTATGGGGCTCCGCTCCACTCATAGAACTGGAGTTACACTCCGGTAACTAATCGTTTCACTATCATGTTTCTTCCAGAGACCAACTCCAAAATCAAGATGCAATCAGATCCTAGTTTACATATGAACATGCATACACACTCACCCACATATAGGCCAACTGCATAAAATGCTGCATAAATAAATGTAGCCTAACGTTTACATCAAGTGTTAGACTTCAGTACACATAGTCAAACATTTCTCTGCAAGGGTTAAGACACTTCAGTCTAGACTAGACTGTAAGGCCAGAGAGGGTCCTTTTAATGTATTTTTTTTTTTTTTAAAGGCGGTATAACCCTAGCAGTTTCCTGGAGTGGGTCACAGTTATGATTTTAATTCACTTGTATGTAATTCACACACCGCAGGCTCGTGTCTGAGGCATGTATATTCCTGAATAAATGTTGCACATCTTACACTCTTCCCCTAAGCTGCTGCTTGTGTCTGTAACAGGAGGCCTCTTTTTTCTCTGTCCTAGGAAGAGCTATGTTCAAACACCACAGTGAATTTTAGATAAGCCACTAAGAGGACCCTATGGTTTGAAAAGGAATATAATGGGGTCTTAGTGGGTTATTGAGTTTCAATGTGCCTTCAAACTGACCAGGAATCAGTGTTATAATGTTAATATCCCGGTCAAATACAAAATATATTTTACATTGGATGTCAAAAGATAACAACTCTATGACCAGACCCTGGAAAACTGAACTATAAATGTTCACTGAGCTTTGTTGTGGCGGGACAGGTGTTCATGGCCAGCCACAGCAGGTGTCATGTTTACAGCCATGACACAGTCTGAGAGAAAACCCCAAACTTCCATAAGAGTTGTGTACTATATCTAACCCTAGAGAGAGAGGGGGTCTAATCTTAGTCAAGTCAGGGTCTCTCACTGAGGTGTGTTAACTGCTGTGTCTAGAGGACATGATTGTAGAGGACATGCTACTCACTTGGGGGGCATGTTGGTGTCGGTGGGGGACCTGGGGGAACCTTTTGGGTGCTTGTCCTCCCCCTCCTTCTTCTCCTGAGGTTCCCGTGGTGGCCGCTCCCTGATGGGCCTTTCCTTCTCATCACGCTTCATGCGATCCCTCTCCCACTCCTCCTTTCGGCGCATCCTCTCCTTCTCTCGCTCCCTCTCTCTTTCCCTCTCGCGTTCTCTCACCCGGCGTTCTCGCTCGCGGTGGTCCCGCTCTCGCTCTCGGTCGCGATGGCGCTCACGCGGATCCCGCTCTCGTTCACGCTCCTAACATTCACACAGATGGATTTGTGAACACTCTGTCATGGTCCTACAGCAACGCTGCTTTAATGGGTCCTTCAAGATAATCAATAGGCCTACATGTAATAAAGTTAATATATCTTTGTATTAATAAAGTTAATATCTCTTTGTATTAATAAAGTTCATATCTCTATGTATTTGTAAGGCGTGTAGTCCTTAAGGGGTGGACATCTCTTTGAGCGTACTCACACTGTAGTGGTAGGGCAGAGGGGTCTCTGTGTACTGCACTCTGAAGTTCTCATACTGTCCCCCTCTCCAAAAGGCCTCCATCTCATAGTCATAGTAGGGATCAGCATAAGGGTCGTTACTGAAAAGAGATCCCAAACATGTGAGGGGAAATCAAAGTATATAGATAAATAGGAAATAAGAGCTTTGTTTCATATTGTTGTGCAGCTGCATGCTCTATAGAATGTATGAGTCTCTGTATCAAAGACAATTAATCCGATAAGTAAACATGCAGTGACAAATGCACCATCAGGCCTAGTGGAGTGGGCTGATCATTATAACAGTCTAGCTGTTTTCTCACAGCAGAGAAGGCACTGATAATCAAGCAGAAGGAAAGGTATTGGATGAGAGGGCCATGTGTGGCTGATGGCAGGGCCATGTGTGGCTGATGGCAGGGCCATGTGTGGCTGATGGCAGGGCCATGTGTGGCTGATGACAGGAGTTGTTTGGTGAAGAGAAAGTAAAGATAAGAGCTGCATGAAAAGAGGATGCTGCTACTTCCCCTCCATTGTACTTACGGATAGACTGGGTCTCTGAACTCCACATCACTAAGGGGAAAGGCCATAAATGTATTAAACATGAGATGTAGTCTAAAAACATCCACAAGTGAGATATTTTGCCCTGACTTTAGGTCTCTCTTTTGACCAGAGCTATTGAGCTTACCCTGGGTCTCTGATTTCTCTGGTGATGCGGTAGCTGCGTTCCCTGAAGAAGTCGTTCTCTTTGTCAAAGTCTCTCTCATCTTCTCCAATGGTCACGTTAAATCGTTTCTCCTCAAAGTCCGGCTCCTGCTCTTTGCGTATGGTGGCTTTCTTCAACACCTAGAGGAATAGGGCAACATGTACATGGAAAGTCCAGGAATTAATTATAGTCTACTGACTGAAACCACCATAAAGTGGCTACACACACGTTGATTAGTATAAAGAGGCTTCACGAGCCAAATGTAGCAGGGGAACCTCTCAGAAAACATATTAATAAAAAAAAGTATCAAACACGAAATCAGCTGGTGCTGAAACAAACTGTACAGAAGAGGAGTACATGTTGCTTGTGAGAGCTGAGAAGGTGTTGTACCTCTTTGGCGTGTCTCAGACCCCTCTCCCAGGCACTCTCCACAGGAGGCTCCACTGGAGGAGGGGGTGGAGGGAGCTCCTCAACAGCAGGTCCACCCTGAGACAGAGGTAAAAGACAGTAACAGACATAAATACCATGCATTTACACACATGTAGCCTACACACACGCACACTATCTTCAGGTCCAAATACAGCCATGCAGCGGCAGTGAGAGGTCAGGGGTGGTGCATACCCAGGGGTTATTGCCCGGCATGAGAGGGTGGGGTGCTCCAGGTGGTGCCCCGTTGGGAGAGAAGGGATCTGGCTTGGAGATGAGAGAGTAGTTGCCCTTGTCGTTGACCCCTGGATGGATGAACCTACAATTCATACCCCAGGTGCAGTTACCTGGGAAAGAAAAACAGAACAGTTGGTATCCTTTTGTGATAACGGATACATGGGAATTGGAAAAAGCCTATGTTTATTGAATACAAATACTTTGAAGTAAATTGTGGTTGGATGTAAATTGACATCCATCATCGCTGTATGTGCTTTAGCTCCTAATACTATTCCATTACCACATTATCTTCATGTAAGATATGAAGTACAATGCTTCCCCCTGCTGTCTGAAACCAGTGTTTTCAATATCATTGCCTCAAAAGGACCACTGAACACATTTCAACAACAAGAGACATGCTCCACATGCTAGAGAAGCAGCATATCAGTGAAGAAACAAAATGCAAGGCTTGTGTTGCTGATAAAGTGGCTTACACTTCTACCTTCATCATGATACGTCTTTGGAGTAGAATCGAATGCTCTAGTTACACACGCAATGTTTTCACAGTGTAGTTTCGTAATAACTAAGACAGGTGTTTTACACGCGTGTGGTGCACAGGAGAGTATGTTGAGGTACCTTTCAAAAAGAACCGGCAGATGGGCCTGGGTCTGATCTTCCTGTCCATGGGGTCCTTCACCTCTCCCTCCTCCAGGTCATCATCCTGCACAAAGGGAACAGAACACAGGCTAAATATCAATCCACTTAACTGCTGTAACCTTATTATGAAACTGGAACAGGGTATAAATTGTATTGGAGGGCAGGTTTTGTCACACTGGCCTACACAAAATACCCCATAATGTCAAAGTGGAATTGTGTTTTTAGAAATGTTTACAAATTAATTACAAATGAAAAGCTGAAATGTCTTGAGTCACTAAGTATTTCATCCCTTGTTATGGTAAGCCTAAATAAGTTCAGTACAAATGTGCTTAACATGTCACATAATAAGTTGCATGGACTTACTCTGTGTGCAATAATATTGTTTAACATGATTTCTTAATGACTACCTCATCTCTGTACCTCACACATACAAATATCTGTAAGGTCCCTCAGTTGAGCAGGGAATTTCAAACACAGATTCAACCACAAAGACCAGGGAGGTTTTCCAATACCTCGCAAAGAAGGGCACCTATTGGTATAAATAAAAAAGCAGACATTGAATATCCCTTTGAGCATGGTGAAGTTATTAATTATACTTTGGATGGTGTATCAATACAACCAGTCACTACAGAGATACAGGCGTCCTTCCTAACTCCGTTGCCGGAGAGGAAGGAAACCGCTCAGGGATTTCACCACGAGGCCAATGATAACTTTAAAATGGGCGGCAGGTAGCTTAGTGGTTAAGAGCGTTGTGCCAGTAACCAAAAGGTCGCTGGTTCTAATCCCCGAGCCGACTAGGTGAAAAATCTGCCGATGTGCCCTTGAGCAAGGCACTTAACCCTAATTGCTCCTGTAAGTCGCTCTGGATAAGAGCGTCTGCTAAATGACTAATTATTATTATTATTATTTAAAAAGTCACAGAGTTTAATGGCTGTGAAAGGAGAAAAATTAGGATGGATCAACATTCTAGTTACTCCACAATACTAACCTAAAAGGACAGAGTGAAAAGAAGTAAGCCTGTGCACAATATAAATATTCCAAAACATGCATCCTGTTTGCAAAAAGGCACTCAGTAAAACGGCAAAATATGTGGCAAAGAAATGTATTTTATGTCCTGAAGACAAAGCATTATGTTTGGGGCAAATCCAACCCAACACATCACTAAGTACCACTCTTCATATTTTCAAGCATGGTGGTGGCTGCATCATGGTATGGGTATGCTTGTCATCGGCAAGGACTAGGGAGTGTTTTAGGATAAAAAGAAACGGTATAGAGCTAAGCACAGGCAAAATCTTAGAGGAAAACCTGGTTCAGTCTGCTTTCCACCAGACACTGGGAGATGAATTCGCCTTTCAGCTAGACAATACCCTAAAACACAAGGCCAAATATACACTGGAGTTGCTTTACCAAGACGACATTGAATGTTCCTGAGTGGCCTAATTACAGTTTTGACTTAAATCTGCTTGAAAATCTATGGTAAGACTTGGAAATGGTTGTCTAGCAATGATCACCAACCAACTTGACAAAGCTTGAAGAATTTTGTAAAATAATAATGTGCAAATATTGTACAATCCAGGTGTGCAAAGCTCTTAAGAGACTTATCCAGAAAAATTCACAGCTGTAATCACTGCCAAAGGTGCTTCTACAAAGTATTGACTCAGGGGTGTGAATGATTATGTAAATTAGATATGTCTGTATTTCATTTGGAATACAGTGGGGGAAAAAAGTATTTAGTCAGCCACCAATTGTGCAAGTTCTCCCACTTAAAAAGATGAGAGAGGCCTGTAATTTTCATCATAGGTACACGTCAAATATGACAGACAAAATGAGAAAAAAAATTCCAGAAAATCACATTGTAGGATTTTTTATGAATTTATTTGCAAATTATGGTGGAAAATAAGTATTTGGTCAATAACAAAAGTTTCTCAATACTTTGTTATATACCCTTTGTTGGCAATGACACAGGTCAAACGTTTTCTGTAAGTCTTCACAAGGTTTTCACACACTGTTGCTGGTATTTTGGCCCATTCCTCCATGCAGATCTCATCTAGAGCAGTGATGTTTTGGGGCTGTCGCTGGGCAACACAGACTTTCAACTCCCTCCAAAGATTTTCTATGGGGTTGAGATCAGGAGACTGGCTAGGCCACTCCAGGACCTTGAAATGCTTCTTACGAAGCCACTCCTTCATTGCCCGGGCGGTGTATTTGGGATCATTGTCATGCTGAAAGACCCAGCCACGTTTCATCTTCAATGCCCTTGCTGATGGAAGGAGGTTTTCACTCAAAATCTCACGATACATGGCCCCATTCATTCGTTCCTTTACACGGATCAGTCGTCCTGGTCCCTTTGCAGAAAAACAGCCCCAAAGCATGATGTTTCCACCCCCATACTTCACAGTAGGTATGGTGTTCTTTGGATGCAACTCAGCATTCTTTGTCCTCCAAACACGACGAGTTGAGTTTTTACCAAAAAGGTCTATTTTGGTTTCATCTGACCATATGACATTCTCCCAATCCTCTTCTGGATCATCCAAATGCACTCTAGCAAACTTCAGACAGGCCTGGACATGTACTGGCTTAAGCAGGCGGACACGTCTTGCACTGCAGGATTTGAGTCCCTGGCGGCGTAGTGTGTTACTGATGGTAGGCTTTGTTACTTTGGTCCCAGCTCTCTGCAGGTCATTCACTAGGTCCCCCCGTGTGGTTCTGGGATTTTTGCTCACCGTTCTTGTGATCATTTTGACCCTACGGGGTGAGATCTTGCGTGGAGCCCCAGTTCGAGGGAGATTATCAGTGGTCTTGTATGTCTTCCATTTCCTAATAATTGCTCCCACAGTTGATTTCTTCAAACCAAGCTGCTTACCTATTGCAGATTCAGTCTTCCCAGCCTGGTGCAGGTCTACAATTTTGTTTCTGGTGTCCTTTGTCAGCTCTTTGGTCTTGGCCATAGTGGAGTTTGGAGTGTGACTGTTTGAGGTTGTGGACAGGTGTCTTTTATACTGATAACAAGTTCAAACAGATGCCATTAATACAGGTAACGAGTGGAGGACAGAGGAGCCTCTTAAAGAAGAAGTTACAGGTCTGTGAGAGCCAGAAATCTTGCTTGTTTGTAGGTGACCAAATACTTATTTTCCACCATAATTTGCAAATAAATTCATTAAAAATCCTACAATGTGATTTTCTGGATTTTTTTTCCTCAATTTGTCTTTCATAGTTGACGTGTACCTATGATGAAAATTACAGGCCTCTCTCATCTTTTTAAGTGGGAGAACTTGCACAAATAGTGGCTGACTAAATACTTTTTTTCCCCACTGTACATTTGCTAAAATGTCTAAAAACATGTTTTCATTTTGTCATAATGGGGTATTGTGTGTAGATGGGTGAGAAAAAGTATGAATTGAATCCATTTTGAACTCAAGCTACAACAAAAAATGTGGAATAAGTCAAGGACCCTTTCTTTCTAGAATTAGCCGCCGAAATTATCGCAACCCCTATTACTAGCCTGTTCAACCTCTCTTTCGTAACGTCTGAGATCCCCAGAGATTGGAAAGCTGCCGCGGTCATCCCCCTCTTCAAAGGGGGTGACACTCTAGATCCAAACTGTTACAGACCTATATCCATCCTGCCCTGCCTTTTGAACGTTTTTAAAAGCCAAGTTAACAAACAGATCACCGACCATTTCGAATCCCACCGTACCTTCTTCGCTGTGCAATCCGGTTTCCGAGCTGGTCATTTACATTTTAGTCATTTAGCAGACGCTCTTATCCAGAGCGACTTACAGGAGCAATTAGGGTTAAGTGCCTTGCTTAAGGGCACATCGACAGATTTTTCACCTAGTCAGCTCGGGGATTAGAACCAGCGACCTTTCGGCTACTGGCACAACGCTCTTACCCACTAAGCTACCTGCCGCCCAGCCACGCTCAAGGTGGGTGCACCTCAGCCACGCTCAAGGTCCTAAACGATATTATAACTGCGATCGATAAAAGACAGTACTGCGCAGCCGTCTTCATCGACCTGGCCAAGGCTTTCGACTCTGTCAACCACCGGATTCTTATTGGCAGACTAAATAGCCTTGGTTTCTCAAATGACTGCCTCGCCTGGTTCACCAACTACTTCTCAGATAGAGTTTAATGTGTCAAATCGGAGGGCCTGTTGTCTAGACCTCTGGCAGTCTCTGGGGGTGCTACAGGATTCAATTCTCGGGCCGACTCTATTCTCTGTGTATATCAATGATGTTGCTCTTGCTGCTGGTGACACTCGGATCCACCTCTATGCGGACGACACCATTTTGTATACATCTGGCCCTTCATTGGACAATGTGTTAACAAACCTCCAAACGAGCTTCAGCGCCATACAACACTCCTTCCGTAGCCTCCAACTGCTCTTAAACACTAGTAAAACTAAATGCATGCTCTTCAATCGAATGCTGCTTGCACCCGCCCACCCGACTTGAATCACTACTCTCGGCGGGTCTGACCTAGAGTATGTGGACAACTACAAATACCTAGGTGCCTGGTTAGACTGTAAACTCTCCTTCCAGACTCACATTAAGCATCTCCAATCAAAAGGTAGATCTAGAATCGGCTTCCTATTTCGCAACAAAGCCTCCTTCACTCATGCTGCCAAACATGCCCTCGTAAAACTGACTATCCTACCGATCCTTGACTTTGGCGATGTCATTTACAAAATAGCCTCCAACACTCTACTCAGCAAATTGGATGTAGTCTATCACAGTGCCATCCGTTTTGTCACCAAAGCCCCATATACTACCCACCATTGTGACCTGTACGCTCTTGTTGGCTGGCCCTAACTACATATTCGTCGCCAAACCCACTGGCTCCAGGTCATCTATAAATCACTGCTAGGCAAATCCCTGTCTTATCTTAGCTCACTGATCACCATTGCAACACCAACCCGTAGTCTGCGCTCCAGCAGGTATATCTCACTGGTTATCCCCAAAGCCAACACCTCCTTTGGCCGCCATTCCTTCCAGTTCTCTGCTGCCAATGACTGGAACGAACTGCAAAAATCTCTGAAGCTGGAGACTTATCTCTCACACTAACTTTAGGCGTCAGTTGTCAGAGCAGCTTACCGATCACTGCACCTGTACACAGCCCATCTGTAATTAGCCCATTCAACTACCTCATCCCCATATTGTTATTTATTTTGCTAATTTTCACCCCAGTATCTCTTTTTGCACATCTATCATTCCAGTGTTAATACGAAATTGTAACTATTTTGCACTATGGCCTATTTATTGCCTTACCTCCATAATTTACTACATTCGCACACACTGTATATATATTTTCTGTTGTATTTTTGACTTTATGTTTTGTTTACCCCATATGTAACTGTGTTGTTGTTTTTAATCGCACTGCTTTGCTTTATCTTGGCCAGGTCGCAGTTGTAAATGAGAACTTGTTCTCAACTGGCTTGCCTGGTTAAATAAAATAAAATAAAAAAGAATACTTTCTGAAGGCACTGTAAATCCCATTTACATTACTTACATCTATCTCTCCCTCATCAATCTCTCCATCATCCTCATCCTTCTTTTTGTCACGAAAGGAATCTCTCCTTCCTCTCTCCTGAGCCCTGGATTCTTCAGACTTCTTAGGTGGACTGTCTTTCGGGGATGGAGGAAGGATTGGTATTTTCTCTTTCTTTTTGATGCCCTTGCCCTCTTTCTCCCCATTTCCAGGTCCTTTCTCCACCTCCTCATCAGGCGCTAGAACATTGGGCTCCTCAGGAACCTCCTCGTCATAGTCCAGCTCATGTTCATCAAGCTCTCTGGACACAGACGACTCCTTCATCTCATTCACCACCACCACTCTCCTCCTCCTCCGCCTCTCTTCCTCCTCCTCTTCATCATCTACCTCTGCTGTCTCCACAGCCAGCTTGGCTGATGGTTCCCCTCCTTCACCCCGCTCTTCTTCCTTCTCATATCTGGACATCTCCTCCTCCTCCTCCTCCTCAGCCAAGGGGGATGACCTCTCCTGCTCTGGCTCAGAATCAGGGGACTTAGGAGTTTGGCTGACCCGGTCCTCCTCTTCATCCTCATCAGCTGATTGGCTCACCTGTCTCCTCTGCCCCATCATCACCATCCCCACTGACTCATCCTGCTCTAAACCAGTATGGCTATCCCTTCTACCGTCCCCATCCACTTCATCATCCTCTGGGTCAGAGATACACTCCTGAACTAGCCCCTCATCTTCGTCATCATCCAGCTCAGAGTCCCCACCTCCACCACCCACTTCATCTAACTCGTCATTGTCTTCATCATTCAGCAGCTCGCTGTCGGAGAGCAGCCTGTCCTCCTCCTCGGGGGATGCCAGGAACTCGCTGTCAGAAAGGCCCTTCTCCTCTTCCTCTGGGGACTGGGGCGACTGGTTGGGGCTTTCAGGGGACTGGGTGGGGCTCTCAGGGGTGTCCATTGGAGAATGATCCACTAAAAAAAGAGTAACATCTTGATTATATAAGTGTCTATTAGTAAGAATTAGATTACATTTGTTTAATACACAAAAACAATGTCTCTGGGCAATATACACGTTTTGGTACATACCATAAATCCACCATCTACTTTTTAGATGAACTAGTTACAATAATTTTGTAGGAGGATTTACTAGCCAGCTAGTAACTAAATATAATTATGGGAGTCAATTGACTACTGCCAGCTATCTATTTCTCGATACAATATGTCAAAGAGTGCTAGCCATCTGATCAACATTATAGCTACATAGCTACTACATACATTTCGTAGTCAGAGACATGCATGTAGCAAGAAGGCATCCGCCTCATCTCAAAAATAGTAAACTTCACGCAGGTCAATAACAGTCGGTCAGAGATTATTACACATTAGCTAGCTGGCTAGCGAATGTTAGTTAGCTATCTGTTTCAACCAGTAGGTGAACATCGCTGCCTTTAACATCATATTTTCAGATTAAAACTCGGGGACTCGGTGTTTACAGTAGAACAATGTCATAGGTAGCTAGCTGTCTAGTAGATAAGCAAATCAAGAGGCAACTTCGGCGCTGTAGGACGAGACGTATCGTTAGCTTGCTAGTTAGCGCTTAACTACAATGCTAGCTAACTACCGGGTGAAGCAGGCCCAAAAACTGCCAGGGCTCTAGCAGACAAGAGACTAACGTCTGATTTGTCTTTAAAAGACGTCCCAATGCGCTTAGACAAAGGTTCAATCAACCAATACAACTGAAAAGCAACTTTACATAAGCGAAATACCGCTTTCTGGTCTGCTATCGAAGCATGCGTGTCTTGTCGGTTCAATTAACAATGCAGCCCTCCCTCTAAAAACACCAGGAGCTACACTTAAAATATTTTCAGTCACCTTTCCAACCTGAACCTCTTTGAAGACAGGTTTGCGGCGTTAAGAACAACCCAGTATCTTTCTTTATGTCTGACGCTCTACACTAAATAATTGTATGGTTATTTATCTGCTATGCTGGAGAAAACAAAAAAACCTACACGATACATTGAGAGCGGCCATTACCATGACGTCATCAAAATACGACACTGTCAGTTTAGCGATTTGGCTTTGGCGCCACCGTGCTCTCAATATGAAGCATGACTTCAATATTTCAACAAAAGACAACTCGGTCACTGTCACTTACCTATTTGTTCATCTCGGTAATTTTTCTATATCCTATTTTGAAATTGGCCTAATTAGGGTTAGCCTACATTGGTGTCAGGAGTGGGATGGTGCTGGCGGGAGGCATGTGGTGGTGATGGACTTGTGAAGGTGAAGTGGAGGTGGGGATTTCTGAGGATGGGGGGTAACACAATTATAATAATATAATATGCCATTTAGCAGACGCTTTTATCCAAAGCGACTTACAGTCATGTGTGCATACATTTTTACCATTCAATTGCCTACTTTGTCCTGGACTAGTAAAATGTTTTTATGGTCATTTTGATATAGGCCTAGACCTACTGTGGTAATTTAGGGCATAATGTACATTGTAGGCTAGTGATTACCATCAGAAAAACAAAACCTTCCACGTAAGAAAGGCTCCAGCCAGAAATAAATGTAGCCTTGATGGCTGGCTGAATTATCTATATAATTCTCTAGTCCTGCATGCAGAACGGCATAGTTTAGGATTCCATGGGTTAATGATTAACAAAACAGCGCTGTGGCAGCGGTTCAACGCAAGGTGGGAGACATGAGCCATGACGAAAGCGCATGGACTGCGTTGGAGAGGCTGTGAAGGTGCATCATAGTCTATGTCAGTGCATTGCTGGTCTGCGAGACTGTAAATTATTTTAGACAACAGAAACGAGTCTTAACTACACAGTGTTCAAGGTGAATTACAGAGCTGAAAATAATTTGAAGAAACGAGAAATTGGGGAAGTGTGTCCATGCGCATCAATTAGCAAGAATGGATATAAGGTAGGTGCGCAAATTTTGTGATGGACTAGGAGAGGTGCAAGGGATCAAAGTTATTAAAGGCATAATTAATTGTGAAATTGTTTGCCTAATACTTCACTGACATTTTCCTGCAAAATTCACCATACATTCTTAATCATTTCTGGAAGTTGCCTCTACAGCAGGGTTCTGTGAAGTATTATTGTGGGTTTTTGGAGACAACATGATAGGTAGGCTATGCATTTGAAAATGACCTGTAGTAGGAAATTGTAGCTGTCGATTATTTTGATGATATGTGTCTCATATAGGGTTATCAGGTCCTCAGTGATTAATTAATTTGAATATTGATTAATGAGTTTGATGATTAGTTCATGACATTGTTTTCAATAATTATGCTGATCCATATGACAAGATACTTTTAGTTCATTTACTTGTACATTTTAAGTGGCAATAGTCCATGATGCCAAAAGATTGTGATGAGCCTCTATGAGCCAGCTATTTTGAACAACTCTTACTGGACTTCATGGCTTCACATGCTGCTATCACATGCAGGCACAAAAACACTGACAGATTGACAGATTGACAAACAAGCTCCAAAACGTTTCTTCCATTTATGACCATGCTGCTATAGGGAGACATGCACAATCTGCAACAGCTTAATTAACATCACATTACTTCAGTTACCACCATATAATTTCCACCAGAATCAGAATCAAAGTTGCCATCCATCACGACACAAGGCGATAGAAACCCAGAGCCCAGAGCAATAATGACATTCTGGATTGTGTGTACTGCAGTGATGAGCAGAGCAACCCATGACAGCAGAGAGTTCAAACTACAGAGAACACTGTAAAGATGTATGTCGTTAGATGAATAGGCAGAAATTAAACAATGAAATGAAAGACTTTAAATGTAATAGTCACAGCAAAGTATCTATGGCTAGCAAATAGGCTTGCTTCCATTTTAAAGACAAACTTAGTAAACAAAGACATCTATAGTGTATTTAACAGTTTGTTAAAGGTACAGCCTGTAGCTGGTAGATGATGTCCTACTGACCATAAAATAGAATTCTTCTTCTTCCAATCATCTCTGCATAGCGATGTTGAAATTGCTTCAGCCCAACAGCCCAACATAATGAAAATGTAGAAATGGGTGAAACTAAGTTTACTGTGAGATGTGAGGGGATGGTGGTGTCTGATTGATGTTGGGCTTCAGTTAAATTACTTTTCATTTCATGTCCACCTTAATTTATTAGAGGTATCCTCTGGAGAGGAGGCCCAATCTCATTTACAAGGCAAGGAGACTGAAAAGAGCAACAGATGTCTAGATGGCTTTCACTCACTAAATGTGCTGCACTCTGACTAAGTTTAAAACACTCAGTCTTTGAAATAAGAGATGAGGTTCTTGGGGTGATATTTGTATAGAGTGTATTGATGTTTGTGTTGAATTGTATTGATATTGTGTTGAATATATGAGAATATGAGCTTCTATAGTACTTCACCCAGTCATTTTGCTTTTCAACCAGTTTTTGCAAAAGGTAATTCATATTCTACTGAATATTGATCTGCATTATGTGGGCTTCAAGTAAACATACTGTTAGTTGCACATGCATGAAAGCACACATTGGAATTTAATTTGTATCTTTACCAATCTAAATGAATAATTTTGGAAATGTCAAGTGTCTGGAAAGCGCTGGCATGGGATTTAGTTATGCTTAACTAATACTGTGCATAACTAAAATGCCTCATTTTAATCATTCTCAAAGGGAGCTTATCATGTCTCCCCAGTGTTTCCCCTATATTCATTTAGCAGTGGTGCCACCGCTGCTAAAATATGATGTTATTCTTTTATACAGTATATATATTTCTGCCGAGACACGCTTTTAGAATATAGGGGAAAGAATATAGGGGAAACACTGCTCCCTGTTGTTAATTTTTATTGCAGAGAATGAACACCTAGCAGGTGTTCTGTAAAGATGGTTTATAATGTGTTGTTTTACCACGTGTGTTGAGCCAATTGTTTTACTCCTAATGTCGACATTCAAACAAACAGCATTTATCTATCATGTCCAGCTAAGTGTGTATTTAGCAATTGGCAATGCATGTCTTTCCAAAGGTAGATACTTTGGTAGTAGTAATCTTTTAAATTAACTACAATAATTGTTCTATTTTCAGGCGGATCAATGGAATTCTCATTTGTTTAAAAGGGCTAAAGGCAGAGGAAAATTAGCTTCAACATGTTGATTTGATTAATTCAATCAAACGATAACCCTGCAAAATAATTCAATAGGCTGAAAGACAGATGGAACATAGTACACCATTAAAAGGGTTTCATTAGCAACAAATACAGAACACATACAGGGACACTTATTCCTACATTCCCACGCTAACATATCACACACTCACACATGCCAGTTCCTATGTCCTTCACTCTCTCAGTCTTACTCACATAGAAACAAACTCATCACCTGCAAACATGACAGAAAATGTAAGCTCAAGGATGGACACCCCAACCAACATTTCCTTGGTGGGCCCAGGGGACCCCATATCCCAGTCACTGGAGTACAAGACTGTGGCAGTTTTCCTGGTTCTGCTAGTTTGTGGACTTGGCATTGTGGGTAATATCATGGTGGTTCTGGTTGTCCTCACCACGCGACACATGCGTACGCCCACTAACTGCTACCTGGTCAGCCTGGCCATAGCGGACCTCACCGTGCTGGTGGCCGCTGGTCTGCCCAATGTGTCAGACAGCCTGACGGGCACCTGGGTGTTTGGGCACGCTGGCTGCCTTGGCATCACCTACCTCCAGTACCTTGGCATCAATGTGTCCTCCTGCTCTATCACAGCCTTTACTGTGGAGAGGTGAGTGATGCCTCAACTACCTTAACCCCTTTATACCTCCTCAACCAAAGCCATATACAAGAACAATTCAGAATAATTTACTGTATAAATGTCTTTGGAGAACAACAAGCCAAAGTGTCTGTTGTTTGTGCTTCTCCATTTCCAGGTACATTGCTATCTGCCACCCAATGAGGGCTCAGACAGTGTGCACGGTGTCCCGGGCCAAGCGGATCATAGCAGGGGTGTGGTTGTTCACCTGTGTCTACTGCATGCTGTGGTTCTTCCTGGTGGACATCCAGGTAATGAAGAGCGGCAGCATCCAGTGTGGCTACAAGGTGTCCCGTGACCTCTACCTCCCCATCTACCTCATTGACTTTGCCATCTTCTACGTGATCCCTCTGCTCCTGGCCATCGTCCTGTACGGCCTCATCGCCCGCATCCTGTACCTCAACCCACTCCCCAACCGGCCCGACGTGGGCACGGTCTCCGCTGGTGCTACCACGCTCCGCAGGAGCTGCAAGGAACCAGCGAATGGAGGGAAAGGGGGTCGTCAGGGCCGCCCGAAGAGCACGCTCTCCTCCAGGAAACAGGTGCGTGCGTCACAGAACAAGGAGCCCCCTTTATGTCCCCCTGTAATTGACATCCAATGGCTTTGGTCACAGTTGACCCCAGCCTACTCTTTACCCTGCTCTCTGATCTCCACGGATTAGCCCATGATACCATCAAAGCATCATGTTCTTCCTATCAGTTGGGATAAGTGGCCTGCTGTTTGCAGAGTCCACTGCACTGCCCACCTTGGTTATGACTGACCTAAGGGTGAAATAGCTGTAATGGTTTCTGGAGCTGTTGGGGTAAAAGGTTTTTCTCAGGGGATCTGAGTCTGTGGTGTTGCACAATGCCAAGTGCCTTAGCCTTAGCTTTATATGTGTTCGCTCTAAATTGTACAGCATTGTACATTGTGTACTCAGGTGTTATGCCTGAAAACCCAGATTCCCCTTATCCATTTAATATGAGAGTAAGCAAGGCAGTATTTGTATGTAGGCTATGTAAGTATGTTTTGATTTCACCCCCCTCTTTAGCGGATTCATGTAATTATTTATTTTCACATTGCCTACATAACAGAAGCATTCAACATATGAATGCCTATCTATTCACAATGTTACGAAATGGTAAGTAAACAGTGGCTTAGACCTTCAGGCTCTAGAAATTCAACCATACTGTAGAATGGGGAATATAACTCATTTTCTGAATATCCAAGTTATTCAGAGTTTTCATTTTTGGATCCAGACATTCACTTACAGTGAATGTGGACAGATGGAGCAAATCTGGTTGTGTACCCAGGTCATTAAGGGTGCTGCTGCTGATAAGAGGAAACACATTAAGGCCCATCAGCATCTCATCAGCAGCCATATTATGTTATTGATTAATCTGACTATCTCTGTTGATGGATGCTCAACACAACAACACATTTGAAACTCTTGTTTACGATGTATTGTAGAGATGGGAGGTCAACCATACAAGAAATGACTCCCATTTATCAGTCAACATTGGCAAAATCCTTTGTATGAGACACATTTGGCTGAGGAATATCACACAGCCAGTTAGCGCTTGATCGGTATGGCAGCATTATAGGCTACATGTATTGCAATGGGGAAATAAAACACAGGATTGTAAAATCAGACACAAAGACACACACACAAAAGTCTCGCCTCTGAAATAATGACTTCCCCAGGCTCTCCAGTGCAGTGCACCTGCTGCGGGATACAGTATCCACAGTATCCACAGTATCCACAGTATCCACAGTATCCACACTATCCACAGTATCCACAGTATCCTTATTATCCACAGTATCCACAGTATCCTTATTATCCACAGTATCCACATTATCCTTATTATCATCCACAGTATCCACAGTATCCACATTATCCTTATTATCCACAGTATCCTTATTATCCACATTATCCTTATTATCATCCACAGTATCCACAGTATCCTTATTATCCACAGTATCCACAGTATCCTTATTATCCACAGTATCCACCGTATCCTTATTATCCACAGTATCAACAGTATCCACAGTATCCTTAATATCCACAGTATCCACAGTATCCACCATATCCTTATTATCCACAGTATCCTTATTATCCACAGTATCCACAGTATCCTTATTATCCACAGTATCCACAGTATCCTTATTATCCCAAGGTCCCCAGCTATAATTATGTTTCAAGGCTGAAATGAAAACTTAAACTAAAACCAAAAGACTGGGTACAGCAACAGCTGTCAGTTCTGTGGCAGAAAAGTGAAGAAAATAACATATGTCATGTCAGGATGCTCTAAATGACCTTGCGTGTGTGTGTGTGTGTGTGTGTGTGTGTGTGCGTGTGTGCATCGGTTTTTGATAGTGGGTAGTTCCTAATCTCAAGTGCTCAAGGAGCGCCATTTGAGCAAAATATTTGCATAATATGATTTGGAATTTTCATTGAAGTATGCTTAATGCTGCAGATGATTATAGTCTCAGTTCTTCAACAGTTACTCTTTGCTCTTTTATTTATTGGACCTTTATTTGATTTGCTGATAAAAATCTGATGAAGTTCTGATGAAACTCCTGTAGCCTACAGATGTAGGATCTTAATTTGAGCCAGTTTGCACAGCAGGAAAATGATCCTGCAGCAACAGGAAATGTGAATTATTATGTGGATTATAATTCATGGACATTTTTGTAGGGGTTAATACATTTTTCGTAAGAGAAAATCAAGTCTGAAATTTCAAAGTGGGAATTACAAACCTCAGAAGCCTTTTAACACCTCAAATACACTACACGTTTTACATGTCCTGCATTGCAGGAAAGTTCTCCTGCAACAGGGTGATCAAATTAAGATCCTACGTCTGTATACTAAAGAATGACTTTAAAAAACTGTAGTTTTGGTTCATTAGATTTACTTCTGTTCTGTATTCGACCTAATTGAAACCTGCCATGATCTGCAGCAGTCTGCTTTGTTTGTGATCTACAGCAGTCTGCTTTAATACTCCCTGGGCTGGTAATGCGTTATGAAAATAATAAGATGCATATTCAAAATGTCACAGTGATCCTTAGTGTCATTATCTCGCTGTTGTATAATTAAAGCCTCCAACTCCCTGGCTCTCTCCGCTTCAATTAAACGCTTCAATTTTTTTATTTCACTCAAGGTTGCTGTCACCGACTGTCGTTTATCAAGGGATCCTTATCTCAAATAGCATTTAGCTTAAAGAGGCCGTGTATGATACGAGTATCAACTGCCTCTCTTTTGTGTTGCCATGATCAAACGTAGGAAGACTAGAAAAAGGTTTTGAATTGGTGAGAGTGAAGTGTTTAAAATTCGTACTGACAAAAAGGTGAGCAGAGCAGGGGATAAAAGACAGCCTGTGCCATTGTTTGGGAGTGATAAGGCTAATCAGTGGAGTCTTACAGTGGTTCTTCATCTGTCTCACCGGGGTTCTAGAATGTCTGTGTGTTGTCGCCATGGTCACAAAGCCAGGGGCTGAGTGACTCTCTCTCTCTCTCTCTCTCTCTCTCTCTCTCTCTCTCTCTCTCTCTCTCTCTCTCTCTCTCTGTCTCTCTCTCTCTCTCTCTCTCTCTCTCTCTCTCTCTCTCTCTCTCTCTCTCTCTCTCTCTCTCTCTCTCTCTCTCTCGATATACCCACCTCTGAGATGGGGGTCTGTTCTCTCAAAGACACTGGCGGCCCCTGTGGCCTCGTTGACCCAATCCACTGTGGCCATGGTGTGTCTGTTTGCTTAATACAAGGCTCTCACACAGATAAATACTGAATTGTGGTGTGCTAAAGTTAATCTCTAATGTAATGTTGAGTGCGATAAGGGAATCAGATTACAGTTTTTCTCGATTGCTAAGACACATTTCTTGAAAGCTGCTCTCCTTTTCTCTTAACTGTGAACACAAAACCCAATTTTCAAGCGACTACATTCAAAAACCTCAGACTCTTCTTGCAAAACCAAACTTTCACCTCAAAACAGTTCAATCTGTGCTCAAAATTGAACTATGTTGTCAAATCGTGCCCGAGTCAATCAAAATTAAAAACCTACTGAACAGTCACTAAACACTACGTAGAAAAATAGAAAACACAATGCTCAGGACATGAAGCTGGATAAATAAATGTTTATTGTTCACTGTAGGCTAAATGCATGTTGCAAAACAAAAAAAAACTGTGCATTTAGCACTTGTACAAAAAGACAAAACAGAAATCTTGTGCATTTACATGTAGCACTTGTAAAAACAAACAGAAATCTTATGCGTTTGCCACTTGTGTACAGTAAGCCCATGTAAAAATAAAGTACAAAAATATACAAATAAGTGCATTACTCAGCCACAGCATCATGTCTCCGTACTGGGTCAGGCCACAGGACTTCATCCACATCACAGGCCACATTTTGTCTGGCCAGGCAACTGGGGAAAAAAACCCTGGCATGCCGTATCCAGGCTTGGCATGCCTCCACACCTATGTCACCACAGGCAAGTCCCATGGCTTGCAGGAGATTTACCCTGGTGTAAGGTTGGCGTTCATATACCTTCCACCGCCATGAGGAGAAGAATTCCTCAATGGGGTTTAGGAAAGGGGAGTACGGTGGAAGGCAAAGATTGATAAAACCTTGGTTCATATTGTACCACTCTCTAACCTGGAGGGCTCTGTGAAAACTCACATTGTCCCAAACAACAACATAGATGGGATGCTCATCCTGCTGCCCTAACAAAGCATCTCGCATGTGATTGAGGAAAATGAGGAGCTGGTGAGTGTTGTAGGGCCCCAGGTTGGCATGATGGTGGACAACCCCATGATTGCTGATGGCAGCACATAATGTTACATTGCCACCACGCTGCCCAGGAACACCAACAATGGCCCGATGGCCAATCACATTACGGCCTCTCCTTCTCCTTTTGGTGAGATTAAACCCAGCTTCATCCATGTAGATGTATTGATGGGGTCTTTCCATTGCATCCAGTTGAAAAACCCTCTGTAGAAATAGATATAGTTTTGTAAGTGATACGGAAAAAGTGATTTAGGCCACTACAGTAAATCACTACTTAGAGTAATCAACATTGAATGGGTCTGGATATATGCCAACCTGTACATACTGGAATCTTTGCTCTTTGACTCTGTCTGAGTTGCGATCAAAGGGCACTCTGTATAGATCTGTTTCATGCGGCAGTCTGTTGCGCTTGAGGACACGATCAACGTTAGAGAGGGCTGACACTGTGATACCTCAAAATGGAAATGGTCCTAATGATCTGCTGTTGAATTTCGCTCAGTTTAATGGCATTGGTTCCTCACGGACCATATCAACAATTAGGGTCTCTGGTGTGGGGAGAACCATACCTGTCCTCCACCCCCATGTGGCAGTCTTTCAATTCTACAAAAAGAGAACATGGAGTTACAAAAAAATATACATGGAATACTAGGTCCTACGAACACAGTTAGACACAAACCCTCCATTACAATACTACTACAGTACATTAGTACAGTGATGGTACTGAAACATAATAGTACTTACCGTAATACTGTGGTACAGTATAGGTATTAGGTCATAACAGTAATTGCTGTCAACATCTACATACTGTACTATAATGTCAAAAAAAGGTAATTACCTGTTCTCTTCTCTAAATCTCGGATTATGGTGGACACAGTGAATCTACTGATGTTTGGTTGTACCCTTTGTCCAGCCTCCCTCATGCTCATACCATGGACAAGAACATGGTCAATCACAGTAGCTCTGATTTCATCAGTATTACTGTTCTTTGTCTTCGCTGACCACCTCGACCACCTCGACCTCCTCTCACACGAACTCTTCCTCTCAGATTTCTATCCATTGTAGGGCCTCACAAACCAGTGCTCTCTGAACTGGCTTACTGTATATGTTCCCTCACATCATTAGCCACAATTGTGATCAATTTTGAGTTGTTGTGTTCAAGTGTGACACCTGTGCTCTAATTGTGTTTGACTTTTGTCACCTGTGCTCACCATTATGCAGCACGGGTGCATCACAATGAAAATGTGTTGGCAAGTTATGTCTAAACAGGTGAAAAGTGCTTATGGTTTTGCTAGTGTGCGTAAGGAATCAGATTAATGATACTGTAATACGTCACACAGGATTTAACTGTGCTTCAGATACCACTGAATATGACAGTTTGACATGTATGTTTGCATGTTCATTCACTTTTTATTGGATTAGCCCAAGTTTATTGTGAAATGAGTGAACATACAGTATGCATTACATCTCCCCAGATCTCATCTCTCCTGTCTCTCTCACAGGTCACTAAGATGCTCTCAGTGGTGGTGATCCTGTTCGCTTTACTGTGGATGCCCTACCGGACCTTGGTCCTTATTAACTCCTTCATTGCCACACCCTACCTGGACGCCTGGTTTGTACTGTTCTGTCGGATCTGTATGTATGCCAACAGTGCCATCAACCCTGTAGTGTACAACCTGATGTCTCAGAAGTTCCGTTCAGCGTTCCGGGGGCTCTACAGGTGCCAGAGGCAGGAGGCTCACCACCGCACCCTATCCATGATCCAGAGCGGCTACAGCATGGCCAGGGACCCACGCACCCCACAGCAGACCAGCAACGGGACCAAACAGGGGGCCAGGAGAGTGACCTGCACTGACACAGTGACGGAGTGGCAGAGCAAAGACACCTCCCCAGCCAAAGAGAGGAAGGATCACCTGAAGGAAGAGAGGAAAGACACAAGCTGTGGTGAGATCAAATCAACACCTCAGCAAACTGAGATCAACTCCACATCTGGGCAAACTGAGATCATGTCCACACCTAGGCAAAATGAGATCAAATCCACAGCTGGGCCGAACGAGATCAAATCCACACCTGGGCAAAATGAGATCAAGTCCACACCTGGGCAAAATGAGATAAAGTCCACACCTGGGCAGAACGAGATCAAGTCCACACCTGGGCAGAACGAGATCAAGTCCACACCTGGGCAAAATGAGATCAAGTCCACACCTGGGCCGACTGAGGCAGGAATGAATCACACAGTGCTGTAGATAAAACAAGCCTGTTTTAACATGAGGAAGTGAGTATTAGTCATTCACCAATCCAAACTAATTTTGGTAACATATCAAGAATGGAAAAGTCATCCATCTCATTACCCTTGAATAAGCACTATCACCTATTGCAGAATGAAAAGATTCTGGCCAATAACACTATATCATTTAGGATTCCGGGTTTTTGGCTGTTGCATGGTCAAAAAAAGCATCATCAACATGTGACAGAGTGTTATGGACCGCTTCCAGGGATCACTGCAGGTCTCCTCTGCTCTTGTTAGTGCATTTCATTAGGTACACGTGTAGCTCAGTTGGTAGAGCATGGCGCTTGCAACGCCAGGGTTGTGGGTTCGATTCCCATGGGGGGCCAGTATGAAGAACAAAAAAAAAATGCACTAACTAACTGTAAGTCGCTCTGGATAAGAGCGTCTGCTAAATGAAAGAATTAGGTTGTTAATCTCAGAGGGAAAGAGGAATAACAGGCTGTTCAGCACGAGAGAGAGAGAGAGCACTGACTGCCTTTAAGGGATGCCACAAAGACATTTTTAGAAGTGCTTTTAGGTATGATGCTGCTTACAGAGCTCTTCTCAACACTCAGTTTCAAAGCCCTAAAAATCTGATTTGAAATAGGAATGATCTGTCCTCCCTGCAGTCCAGGGACAACACTGTAAAGCACTGCCATTTGTTCTGCATAAAAGCCCCGGCTCAGAGCACAGGACATGTTACTGTAGTTTTATCTCCACTTTGCCAAGAGATACATTTCTATGTTCTGGGCCACATGTAAGAAAGTTGGAAGGAGTGGGGTAACCGTGGGTTACAGACCCATTCATTTGTGGCTGAATGGTATTCAACTAATGCAAACAGAGTACACAGGTTAAATGCCCATAGATGTTTAATGTTTGGGTTAATTTTTATTTATTTTATTTATTTCACCTTTATTTAACCAGGTAAGCCAGTTGAGACCAAGTTCTCATTTACAACTGCGACCTGGCCAAGATAAAGCAAAGCAGTGCGGAAAAAACAACAACAACACAGAGTTACATATGGAATAAACAAAACGTACAGTCAATAACACAATACAAAAATCTATATACAGTGTGTACAAATGTAGTAAGTTATGGAGGTAAGGCAATAAATAGGCCATAGTGCAAAATAATTACAATTTAGTATTAACACTGGAGTGATAGATGTGCAGAAGATGATGTGCAAATAGAGATACTGGGGTGCAAATGAGCAAAATAAATAACAATATGGGGCTGAGGTAGTTGGGTGGGCTAATTACAGATCGGCTGTGTACAGGTGCAGTGATCGGTAAGCTGCTCTGACAACTAATGCTTAAAGTTAGTGAGGGAGATAAGTGCCTCCAGCTTCAGAGATTTTTGCAGTTCGTTCCAGTCATTTGCAGCAGAGAACTGGAAGGAATTGCGACCAAAGGAGGTGTTGGCTTTGGGGATGACCAGTGAGATATACCTGCTGGAACGCATACTACGGGTGGGTGTTGCTATGGTGACCAATGAGCTAAGATAAGGCAGGGATTTGCCTAGAAGGGATTTATAGATGACCTGGAGCCAGTGGGTTTGGCGACGAATATGTAGTGAGGGCCAGCCAACGAGAGCGTACAGGTCACAATGGTGGGTAGTATATGGGGCTTTGGTGACAAAACGGATGGCACTGTGATAGACTACGTCCAATTTGCTGAGTAGAGTGTTGGAAGCTATTTTGTAAATTACATCGCCGAAGTCAAGGATCGGTAGGATAGTCAGTTTTACGAGGGCATGTTTAGCAGCATGAGTGAAGGAGGCTTTGTTTGCGAAATAGGAAGCCGATTCTAGATTTAACTTTGGATTGGAGATGCTTAATGTGAGTCTGGAAGGAGAGTTTACAGTCTAACCAGACACCTAGGTATTTGTAGTTGTCCACATATTCTAAGTCAGAGCCGCCAAGAGTAGTGATTCTAGTCAGGCAGGCAGGTTCAAGCAGCGTTTGATTGAAGAGCATGCATTTAGTTTTACTAGCGTTTAAGAGCAGTTGGAGGCCACGGAAGGAGTGTTGTATGGCATTGAAGCTCGTTTGGAGGTTTGTTAACACAGTGTCCAATGAAGGGCCAGATGTATACAAAATGGTGTCGTCTGCGTAGAGGTGGATCTGAGAGTCACCAGCAGCAAGAGCGACATCATTGATATACACAGAGAATTGTGTCGGCCCGAGAATTGAACCCTGTGGCACCCCCATAGAGACTGCCAGAGGTCCAGACAACAGGCCCTCCGATTTGACACATTGAACTCTATATGAGAAGTAGTTGGTGAATCAGGCGAGGCAGTCATTTGAGAAACCAAGGCTATTTAGTCTGCCAATAAGAACGCGGTGATTGACAGAGTCAAAAGCCTTGGCCAGGTCAATGAAGACAGCTGCACAGTACTGTCTTTTATCGATTGCGGTTATTATATCGTTTAGGACCATGAGCGTGGCTGAGGTACACCCATGACCAGCTCGGAAACCAGATTGCATAGTGGAGAAGGTACGGTGGGATTCTAAATGGTCTGTGATCTGTATGTTAACTTGGCTTTCAAATACTTTTGAAAGGCAGGGCAGGATGGATATAGGTCTGTAACAGTTTGGATCTAGTGTCACCCCCTTTGAAGAGGGGGATGACCGCAGCAGCTTTCCAATCTCTGGGGATCTCTGACGATACAAAAGAGAGGTTGAACAGGTTGGTGATAGGGGTTGCGACAATTTCGGCGGCTAATTTTAGAAAGAAAGGGTCCAGATTGTCTAGCCCAGCTGATTTGTAGGGGTCCAGATTTTGCAGCTCTTTCAGAACATCAGCTATCTGAATTTGGGTGAAGGAGAAGCAGGGGGGGGGGCATGGGCAAGTTGCAGCGGAGGGTGCAGAGCTGGTGGCCGGGGTAGGGGTAGCCAGGTGGAAAGCATGGCCAGACCGTAGCAAAATGCTTGTTGAAATTTTCGATTATCATAGATTTATCGGTAGTGACAGTGTTTCCTAGCCTCAGTGCAGTGGGCAGATGGGAGGAGGTGCTCTTATTCTCCATGGACTTTACAGTGTCCCAAAACGTTTTGGAGTTAGTGCTACAGGATGCAAATTTCTGTTAGCCTTTGCTTTCCTAACTGATTGTGTATATTGGTTCCTGACTTCCCTGAAAAGTTGCATATCGCGGGGGCTGTTCGGTGCTAATGCCGTACGCCACAGGATGTTTTTGTGCTGGTCAAGGGCAGTCAAGTCTGGGGTGAACCAGGGGCTATATCTGTTCTTAGTTCTGAATTTTTTGAATGGGGCATGCTTATTTAAGATGGAGAGGAAAGCACTTTTAAAGAACAACCAGGCATCCTCTACTGACGGAATGAGGTCAATATCCATCCAGGATACCGGGGCCAGGTCAATTAGAAAGGCCTGCTCGCTGAAGTGTTTTAGAGAGCGTTTGACAGTGATGAGGGGTGGTCGTTTGACCGCGGACCCATTACGGACGCAGGCAATGAGGCAGTGATCGCTGAGATCCTGGTTGAAGACAGCGGAGGTGTATTTAGAGGGTAAATTAGTCAGGATGATATCTATGAGGGTGCCCATGTTAATGGATTTAGGGTTGTACCTGGTAGGTTCCTTGATAATTTGTGTGAGATTGAGGGCATCTAATTTAGATTGTAGGATGGCCGGGGTGTTAAGCATATCCCAGTTTAGGTCACCAAGCAATACGAACTCTGAGGATAGATGGGGGGCAATCAATTCACATATGGTGTTCAGGGCACAGCTGGGGGGTAAGGGGGGTCTGTAGCAAGAGACAACAGTGAGATACTTATTTCTGGAAAGGTGGATTTTTAGAAATAGAAGCTCAAACTGTTTGGGCACAGACCTGGATAGTATGATAGAGCTCTGCAGGCTATCTCTACAGTAGATTGCAACTCCGCCCCCTTTGGCAGTTCTATCTAGACGGAAAATGTTGTAGTTGGGAATGGACATTTCAGAATCTTTGGTGGCCTTCCTAAGCCAGGATTCAGACACTGCTAGAACATCAGGGTTGGCTGAGTGTGCTAACGCAGTGAATAACTCAAACTTAGGGAGGAGGCTTCTGATGTTAACATGCAAGAAACCAAGGCTTTTGCGATTACAGAAGTCAACAAATGATAGCGCCTGGGGAGCAGGAGTGATACTGGGGGCTACAGGGCCTGGGTTAACCTCTACATCACCAGAGGAACAGAGGAGGAGTAGAATAAGGATATGGCTAAAGGCTATAAGAACTAGTCTTCTAGTGCTTTGGGTACAGAGAAAAAAAGGGGCAGATTTCCGGGCGTTGTAGAATAGATTCAGGGCATTATGTACAGACAAGGATATGGAAGGATATGTGTACAGTGGAGGTAAACCTAAGCGTTGGGTAAAGATGAAAGAGATAGCATCACTGGAGGCACCGATTGAGCCGGTCTCCGCGTGTGTGGGGGGTGGGACAAAGTATCTATCTGAGACAGGTTGAGCAGGACTGGGGGCTCTACATTGAAAATGTACAGTTAGAACTAACCGAAACAGCAATAGGCAAGGCATATTGACATGGGAGATAGGCATAAAGCAGTCACAGGTGTTATTCGAGAGAGCTAAGACAACAGCTGGTAATGGCGACGAAAGTTTGAGCTGAGGCTAAACAGATCAACAGGATGGGGTACCGTTTAAAGGAACAGTCCAGCAGGCATCAGCTGTGTAGCTGAGTGATCATAAGGTCCAGTGAACAGCAATAAGTAAGTCCTGGAGCAGTTCAGGGGCTGCTACGCAACAGGCACGGCTGTTGATTGCGTGTGCTAGCGGGCCGGGGCTAGCAGATATCCGGATAAACAGCAGTCGTAAATTATCCCTTAACAATGTTTGGGGAAGAGGGGATATTAGGATACTGGCCTTTGATTCAAAGTGGTTCAGCCGACCCAGCTCTGCGAAAATGAGTTCAAGTTGTTGCATTATTGAAAGAGTGGCTCATCTGCCATCTACACATCCACACCTCATT